ACATTGTTATAATCTACATACCTAATCTAACCCTAGAGAAATAAAAATCATCAAGAACTGTTTGTTTTCTTGGCAAATGCACATGGCGTGAATAATGAGTTTGGTCAAAATATTATATGATCATACCTATTAAATGACACACGTGTCTCCCAACAATGCATCAGTACTATAATGTGATGTTGTACAAGCGATGATGTGCGAAATAGGTTTCTAAGAATTAGTCCCACAAACACGTCGTAACAATGTGCGTAAAACATTTAAACGTCATCACCTATAATACGTATACTCGGATAAGCGAAGAAAATATAAAGACATTACACCAGCACATAATAAATTATACGTGAAAAACCGCTAAAGGCAGACCTATATCACAGTCGTGGACCAGTCATCATATACGATACTAATTATCTTAACTTTTTTACTGTTGGGTCACAATATTTTTCAATAGGATTGATTATGCGAGTGTAATTAGTATATACACATCACACATATTTCCGGGAGCCGAGTCACGAGCATAATATTATGTGTAATGTTTTGGTACCTATATACAGGTCCTTGGAAATGTAATGGGAATATTATAAGCATCAAATGCGTCAAAGTGCGTTTTTAGCGTACTATATCTAAATGACGATGTATATACAGGTTTAGAGCTCCGGGTGTTGAATATTATATTCTGAGAACTCGTGAAAATGTATCTACAAATAATTCGAGAACCGTTCGAAAACAGCCTTGAACAACGCGAGTGCTAATAAGAACGAGGCGCACAATAATCATATTATAAAAATTTCACTCACACCCGGTTCACATTATATGACTTATAGTCCGACACCTCAGTCTACCATACACATCACGTCACGATAATATATTTGTACACATTTATTACAAGGCGATCCATTTAATTGGCCACAACAAATTATTTGAATTTTTAAAAAAATGTTTATATATACTAATAATGGTTACTTGGGATTAGGTACGTATATAATAATCATACAAAATGCACAATGATTCAAAACAAAAACAAAACACCAGTACACAACCCGTATTATAACGATTTGTTATTGTAATAATTAAACTACGTATAAATATTACATTATTTGTTTATCAATGCCAGAAAGTTCCTCAATATTCTAACTCTACGTTTGGTATATATTTTGCTATGGAATAATCGATTGTGCAATATTTAGTAATCACTTGGGATAGCTTAGGTATCGTAGCAAACAATAAAATATTTAGAGCTCAAAAAATTATAGAAAAGGCCATTCAACTGATTTGTACGTATATTTTTTTCTTATGTTTGTAATATATTTTGGCCAATAAATTAATTGTATTATTATTATTATTATATTTAATAGTGTATTTGGAGAATATAACTATTTAAAATAAAGAACTTTTCTTTTGGTATCAAGTCAGCTACAACATAACATTTCTGTATTCAATTCGTGTAATTTATGGGGATGTGTGGTATGTACAACAGACTGATTACTAAGCATATACAATATACTTATAGTATACAACATAAGAGACATTATGCTGCAGTCGAGTCACAGTAGGGCAGATAGTACCCAAGAAGACACAACCACCACCAGCAGCAGTCTTATTGAAGAACTCGACGTACTTTTATGTAATATATTTTAATAATAGGGTGTTGTCTCTATTCCAGGACCGACCCTCGTCGTCGTGAAATAACGTTACACTGACAATAATGATTATAAATAAGTATGCTCGGTATATACTGTGATGCGATAATAGTAATAATAATTGAACTTGACCCTTGGTCCAATTTCCGCTCCCTCCCCACACCCTATACGTATACACCTCTCCCTTCACCGAATCACGTGATGGTGTTGCATCACCGTGGTCAAATCGTCAACAAGTCTTCGGATTTCAGATCGTTTACATATTATTATTAATTACTATGATATCAGACACTTATTAGTTATTAGTCTTATTACTTTCAATTAGGTACACGGATTCTGTGGGTCTGCATGTGCATGCGTGTTAATGACTACTTCTACGACTTATTTTAATCGGGAGAGGGGTACCGATAAACGTATGCAAATCGCATGTTAAGTCCACTCGCACCCTAATTAATGAGTCCGACTCGAATCGAGTGACTACGGGGATTTAGAGAGCTTTTGTGGTGGCGACGAAATTAAGGCCCAAACAAAATGCGTTTATTATATTATTATGTGACCATACCAATTATCATTATTAATATCACTATGTTCGTCATTAAAAATAATAATTTCCGCAATAACTAATGGTTACTCAACTAATGGTTACTCGATAAAATATATCACGAACGAAAAGTTTAAAATGCGGAGGACGGTCGGTATGTGATTCGACGCGATGTATCTTTTTTATTAGAAAATACAAACGTATTATTTGCACTTTGTACTCGTGCAAAATGCAAATATTAAAATGTATACACTTGGATCTTATACAAAAGAAAAGCTACAATGTCTGGGATTACAACATCAACGACGCTCATTAATTTCTCTGTGAAATTCCTATATATAACATAAGCAACAAAACAATTCATATCATAGAGAAATTCTTTAAATATAATTAAATCAGTTTTGCGCAGCAAAATATTTCATTAAACGAAAAATAATAAATATAGTTATAATTAATATTATACAGTGAAAAGTCTATTTATATATTAGTGCACTACATGGGCAACAAAAAATGCATATTATAGAGAAATTGATTAAGAATATAATATAATCAAATAAATTTTGTTCTCAAATATATTTCACTAAACAGAAAATGTTGTTAAATATAAGTTCGTTAAATTAATGTTGTATAATATAATGGTATATTTTATATATGTATATATAGATGTAAAAGATATACAACCAGTGACGGATCCTTAAGAGGTGGACAGTTGGATTTTGATTTGTATGTAATACATAATATGATGGACTTGAGTATGAAGTTACGGCAACGCATAATATTGTCCATCTTACAGTATTATGCTCAATAACTCATGGCAAGTATTGATTATTATTATTTACCCCCCCCCCCCTTCATCCTGCAGTCATAGATTTACTGACACGTGCAATTAAACGTGTTAAATACAGTGAGATACATATTTTACTAGCGAGTTAAGAGATCGTCGTAGTATAATTGATTACGTTGAGTTAATAGTGTTATAGTTATAGTTAATTATATCACACACGGAGGTGAGTCACCATAAATAAATAATTTATCTTAAATTCATAGTAAATAATAGTCGAATAAATCAATCAAATAATTTTTATTATGTTACCGAGATTCCACAATATCATGTAGGTCAGATACACAGTATATTTTTTTATAATAATAGTACTACTGTACATTTATATTTTATTCCACAATCGTTTTAAAGTCACCAGTGTTCTTTTTTGATGTCTTAGCAGCTATATATTAATATCCTCTCTGATAATAACTGTACCGATTACAACACGATTATTAGGATGCCAACTAAGTTAACAAATAAAATATAGATCTAGGAAATTAACTATTTATTCTAAATTAAGCAGATACAAACAAGCTGTCAATTATTATTTATTATAATATATTACAAAGTCCATTATACTAATTTTATTAATAACATAATATATTGTCTAGACTCTAGAGGCCTTATCTCCTCGTTCCTCTCGTGTTTGTAAGTGAGTGGTCGACGGGAAAGGTTTTCGATGAAAAAATAAAACAGTAAACAAAAATAAATATTTTTAAGCTGCACCTACAGACCTAAGTCCTAACTCAGAACTTTATACACACATAAACACATTTTTAACATACATGGGTACGTGGCTAATAGAATAGCTGAGACACAATCTATTACTGTTATTGTATATTTACCGTACATTATTATGTATTACCATATATAATGATATATATGAATAATTATGAAATTCGATTTGTTTTTATCAGACTGTTATTATTAAAGACACTATCATCAATCATCATTATTGGTTTAATATGTTTGTTTATTAGTTTTAAGCGTAATAATTTTCATATTGTCGATATCAGTGGTCAAGGAAATGATTTAATTTGATGAAAAACACTTAATTAAAAACATATGTTACACTGATCGATTTTAACATGAGTGTTTAGTAAACAACTCATAACATCCTGCATCTCTATGTTTGATAACGAATACGATTTGTCTCGGTACCTACTGCGGTTGTTGTTGTTCCGTTTAAACGCTTAAAAACTCGACAAAATAATACATTCTTAAATTATTTTTGTTTATGCCTAAACACGGCAGTAATTAAATGAATATACATATTTAAGTATCGGACGATGGACCCGCTCATATCATAATATACATAATAAAATGTATAAAAGACCCAACGCGTCGACGACCCAACTCAACGAACATTTAATTACGCAGCTGATGCGATAGTCGGTGACATCGAAATAAATACAATACATAGTATAGATACGGACCACACTAGTCTTGTCTACAATAATACTATTATTGTAATAAGTGCAAACATATAAACGAATAAAGTATAACGATAATAACAATATATCGTGGCAGTGTGCGTGTTGAATCCGTCGGAAAGGGATTTTGGACGAGCGCGTGCCACACACACACGCGCACATTATATATATATATTATGATATATCGACATGGCCGTTCAAACAATACATACGTACACATAATATAATGCCATACAATATAGGTGAATCACCCAATGCCCTACTGCTGCTGCTGCTGCTGCTGTACATCACCGCGGTGTGCACTGTGTATATTTACTCAGGCCGGGCGAAAAAATCGCACACTCCCCTGCGTCGACTATGTGTCGCGAGCGTCTGAAAGCCGGCCGCTGCCTCCGACTGGAGGGTGGGGGAGTGGAGACCGCGCGCAGTCCGACCGAGGGTGGCACCTCCCCGGCGGTGACACAAAAGGCGAGACACGGATTCTGTTTATCGAGTTCATTGTGTTTTTTTCCTCCCCCCTACACCTCCGCCCCGTCGACGTGTATATCTCCCTAAATTTTCGCCGGACTCGATCCCCGGCAGCGGGAGGGTCCATCGCTCCTCCTGATTTATAGGTTAGTCGGTTTTCGGAACCCGACCCGGTACACGCGCACACACGACCGACAACCATGTCCGCGTACGACTGGCTTCAGCAGCAGCAACAGCAGCAGCAGTTTGTAGTCGACGAAACTCATCTGCACGAAGGCAAAGGTAAGTCGAGAACAAAATATACTACCTAGTCAGTACAATAAAATATTGTTATAAGACACGATTTTTGTATAGCAAAAAAAAATCACTTTCGGTAGATCGCCAACAGCTTGTTGTATGGGTTTTCTTTTTAATACCGTGGGGTTTTCTGCGCTTTTCCAGGTGCCGGCAAAAGGTCTAGGCAGACGTACTCCAAATATCAGACGGCCGTGTTGGAGACGGTGTTCCAGACTTCCAGATATATCGTACGAAACAAGAGACAGCAGATGTCGGCCGAGCTGAGCCTGACCGAGCGGCAGATAAAGATATGGTTCCAGAACAGGCGGATGAAGGAGAAGAAATGCCACAAGGAAGCGCCGCGGATCGTCGTCGACCGACATATGACCGGGCTGCAGGGCGAGGTATGTCCGTCGGGGGCATTGGCTGTCGGTTACGCCGAAGACTACTGCAGCAACGCCGTCGAGCCGGCCGACGACCCAAGGGATGAAGACGTTTTCACCAGTGGTTACCACCCCGCAGTGACCAAACACCGACCGGACGACGTTGGCGGTTACTCCGTTTACGGTGGTTACGATTTGCTGACCGCACCCGACCCGTACGACCAACGTGTAGCAAAACAACAGTGTTGGTCGGCACCCGTCGACTTCCATCAAGACTTGTACGCCGACGTGAGTATCCAATATTTCATCATATAAATTATTTGTTATATTATTATAATGTTATATTCGAATTGAACATAATATATGTACGAAGTTATGTTAACTTGCGAGCTCGTTCAAGTGCGCATACAACTTAGATAAACCCACGCCATGCCCCCGAACATGAAAATAAAGTTATTATATTTCGCTCTTATATATCACTTTAGACACTTTATACCGTCTCGAATGAAACATACGCCATGGTCAATTGTAATAAAAATGAAGTAATACGAACCTGTTCAGTATAGTCCATTATCTTTTTGAAAAAAAAAAAAAAAATAAAACAAATGAAAATAATCGCATGAGTTAGCAGCAAACTCTGACTTCGACGCTTTTAGTAAATAAATATTGTATGATTATTAATTAGTACCTATAGATATAACTGATATAAGTAACTTATTCAGACATTTTTAACAGTTTTGTTTGGTTGGAATACATTTAGGACCTTCTTTTCCAATTAAAAAATGCGTTTCTATGTACGGTACTTGGAAAAACCAACTTTATTTCATAAACTAATATTTTTTCAGCACAACTCAAGCCATTTTCAAAGACTGCCGACGACTCACCACCACTATCCGTTGAATTCACAAGTAAATAATATTATCTAGCAATTTTGTTTGTGCCTATCTATCTATATGTTATTGTATATTATTAATTGTTATTAATCGGTGTCGTTAAACATAACTTAATATACGTTTAGTACATCAAACTATTCGAAGAAGTAGATAATCGTTAAAATGTTGCGTCAAAGACCATTATTCTAATAATCTAATGTGAATCGCCGCTGATTTGTATATATTATATCTTCACAGATCCTATTATTATTTTATAAACTAATTATTAAACATTCGGTCGGTCGTGTGTCACAAACTTACAAATATTATATTTTTGGTTCTTAAATTCCGACCATAAACGTTTGTATTATCAACACGTTATAATTATTATGCCTGTAAACAACCCTCTTCCGTCGATTCGAGGGCTCATAATAATATATAAGTCTCGACATCGTTTAATAAGTCATCGTAACGGGGTGGGGTTAAATTTAAATATAATTGAATACATAACATACATACATACATTCATACATACATACATACATACATATACATATAGCCATAATATGCGTCTCAGAGTCATTGCACATTTTATTAATTCGAATATTATATATTTGTGTTCACAGGTACAAGACTACTGTCCGCCACAGCTGCAGGCTGCACATGGTTATTGACGGTGGTCACTATTCTTCAACATGAGTATAATAATACTGTGCAGTTCGGCCTGTACATTATTGTAATGGTACGCATTATTGCATAATATAATCTTTCGACTGCCGCGTGGTGATAAAATTCTAGTCAATTCACAAAAAGGTGCTGTACAGCTGATAACAGTCGTCGGGCATCGCATAATAAGGCCAATCGTAATATTATTATAAAATTGTGATAAATACGAAAACCCCGTCAGGGCATTACGCACCCTTTCGGATCAGACCACCCACACACTGCCGCCGGATGACGCTGCAGCTACCTTCTGTACACATAAACGAGATCCTAATATGATCTAACACGTGAAATGTGAATCATTTATTATTATTAAATATTATTACTTTTTTTTCTTACGTATTATAAAACTCTAATCAAAATTAAAATATATCGTACGTTAATATTTTTATTAGTATATTTATATGTGTATGTATATATATATAGGTCACATATTATTATATGTATATTGTGCATTTGTGGCTTTATGTTTTCTCGTGTGTCTTATGATTTAAAATATAAAATATAATATAGTATACGTATATAATATATATAATCAAACATTGACAATAAGTATTTATTTATTTATTATCGCACGCAGTGTATCAATTAATGCCAGTAAGTTTTTTATTTTGTTTTGACAACAGTCGACATTACGTCATAGGTTCGGCACTTTCTCAAAAGATAATGATTAATTTACTATTAACGAGCAAAATAAAAATATAAGGAAGTAATATAATTATCTAAAACTGACGGCCGGATATAAAAATATGGAAATCAGATGCTGTGCAATACTCGCCGATCGAAACCCATATATATTGTACAATACCGCATATTATTGCGTCGATGGCATTGTGCATTATATACCCGTATTGATATTGCACAGAAGTCTTTCGTTCGTCGGCACGTACGCGGGGTTAGCTCTCCTGCTGCGAGCGACCATTTAAACGCGCAGCTGCCTCGTCACCGTCGTGCACACGACGATATTTTTCAGGTAAGCCGAGAGGGTTTCGTGTGCATGCAGTCTCGTGTTGATGACGTCCCGACTGTGGTATACGCCGGACATAAATTTAGTTTTTGTGTAATGATATTTTTAAAATGATTTTTTTGCAGAGACAATATTGATAATTACAATTCTATGTAATACATTTATTGTAAAGAGGTCGTAAACACTGTAAATAATAACGCTTTGTTTCTTGCCGCCGGCTGTGACAAGCTGAGCATTTGCTTTTTTTCACCCCTATCCAATTATAATATAGGACTTATAATCATGAACAGTGAAACCTCGATAACTCGAATCGACGGCGGAATAAAAAAAAATTCCTGCCACCGAAAATTCGAGTTATATATGATATTGTATGAACGTATTGAAATGCGACGACTAAGATATTCCTTATTCAAGTTATAAAAATTAAACTTTTGGTTCATGGACCTTCAATTGTGTGTATTATATTTAGGATCTACACAGGTATTTGAGTAAGTGCTACCAAGGGAAGCACAATTATCTTACCTAGATTTTACTTGAATTTTCAAAATTCCACAAATAACACCATACTTAGTATTCGTAAATACGGTTAATTATCAATAATGGTCGTCGCATAGGTGTATATTATATTATGAAAGTGTGTATTCCTATGAAAAGTAATACATAATTATCTTACGTTGACGCTCATAATCCGTTATAAACTACTGTCGTTTTAATCATCAACAAATTGTTTAGCCATCAGCATTTTAACCCTTTTAATATTGAGTTCAATTTCCATTAATTATACTTCATATTATATTTTATTCGTTCGTTCCTGTTGCGTGGTGATGGAGTATTTGAAAGACGAGACTGACTCCGAGATGTTTGGGGTGAATGAATGGATCATGACTGGTGTAGAGATTTAAACTCTATATAGGTACTGATTGCGGGCTTAATGTACCCCAAGATGATGGTGGAAAGATAGTTGATGAAAAAAGTTTATAGAAGATTCTAGCCTTTGCGATCAATTTTTTAATTTATTATAATCACTGAGCGTATTTAAACATCCTATATTATTTCTATATAATAAAAATCAGAATATGTTATTTGGTAAAAACATCAATTGATAAGAGCTGGACCGATTTGGCTCATTTTTTTAATGTTTGGAATATTCCGAATAAGATAATTACGAAAAGAAAAATAGGAAACTAACTTCCATAAATAATAAATTAATATTATTAATGATAAACTATCATATATAGCTGTGTAAATTAAATTCTAGCCTTACAGTATTCACGCACACGTCAATTTTCACCATATATCCTTAAATTATCTATATTAAATCAAAGCTGCTCCCATATTTTGTATTCGTATTCTCGTATTAATAATAAAATATACCTTATAATAATACCTAATATGTGGGTCACAGCGCGATGGCCGATTATTGCGACGTCATCGTTGCACCATGATGACGACGCGCGACGCGACGGCGTAGATATAAAATACGAGATGGAGAACGGCGGCGGCGGTGGCGGCGGCGGCGGCGACATAGGTACACCTAATCTGCAGATGGACATTAAAAACACATTTACGGTATGAGTTTTGCAAAACATCGTGAATTAACTGGCACTGTGTGGGAAAACTATGATTTGTGGTCGATAAGTTTCTACCTACTCACATATTGTTATAGTAGTAGTTGTAGTTGTTGTAGTAGCTGTACATAGTGGTTACCCCGTTACCCGTAAAGCCTTGCAGGTAAATTTCGCTTTTACGAACAACAATTACTGAACAATCCATTTGTATATCTAATATATCTATGGCCAAGACATGGGTATATACTGCATACTATATTGCCATTCACCGGCCTAGTAGTGTTTCAGTGACTTATATTGGACATAAATGTATTAATAATTTCAATATAGGTGTAGCCGTATAGGCTTGTTTTAGGAAAAAAAAATTAATAATTTTAAAGATTTAGATTTATATCTTTTAAAAACTTTCTATAATAATACTTATTTCTGTACAATATTAAATTAATATTAAGCATAATACATTAGCAAATGCCAACATTAATAACCATTTTCCAACCAAATTCTTTATGGTTTACTGGTATATTCAGACTGGTATAGACGTGTTTGGTGATTATGTGTTGGGGAATAATATTTTAAGTCTTCATTATAAATATGATTAAAGATATTCTATACATATTATAATCCATTGAAGTTTCTTACATTAAAAGTACTGCAGAGATCAATTACATGAAAATCATATGATTTTGATAAAATAAATCTCAATAGTTAGTTTAAAGTTTTAATAAGTGGATTTAAGGCAACCTTAGATGTATTTCCCCAAATAATGATGCCATAGCTAATAATGGACTGAAATCCAACCAACATCAAATAATAGACTGCGTGAAAGGTCTTTAAATTTATAAAACAACTTTTTTACCATACTAACTACATGATTTATATGAAGAATCCAACTCTAATGTCTATCAAAAATTATCCCAAGGTATTCAATTGAATAAACATATTCAAACTAATTACATTAACAAGAAACTAAGGATATATTGCAATTTCAGTAGTGAATAACTAAAAGACTATGCATTAAACATTTATTATAGTAAATTTCAAAATAAATCTACTTTGATTTTGTAATAGTTAGTTTTAAATTGTAGTTTAAAAAATATATGAATTCAAGGGCAAAATAGACTATTCAACTATTCAGTGATGTGCTTATGGGCGGCACTTTTTGTCAAGTGAAGCTATTCAGTCCAAATTTAAGTTATTCTTCAATTACGGAGAACCAACAGAATCAAGTATATTTAAAAAACCACAAATGGTCCAAACTTCAGGTGAGAGCTTACATAAAATATATACAACAGCCGGCTTATAGTGGCGCTTACACACCAACACAAGACATACTATATATTAAAAGAATATCCAAGAAATCCAAGACAAACTGTAATGACCAGTGGTTGAAGGGGGGGGGGGGTATGATGAGTTAATATTCCTCCACTTTTTATAATTCGCATTTTCTATGCCTCTACTTATTTTGTACGGCTGTTTAGGCGATATATCAGAACTATATAAATTATGAAAAGCGTCCTTCCACTTATTTTAAGATACTTCAGCCAAAAACCGATAGAGACAAATATGTGATCAATCTCGTAAAGTATCTATAAGAAATAACCCAATCTGAATATTATTAAAACGCATTCAAAATTCAATTAAAATACCTGCATAATGTCTATTATAAAATTCTCAAAATTGTTTTAATGATTTATTTTCAATTGGCTTTGTTCCAAAGAAGAAGTTTATTTTAAATTATTTACGACGAGTTCCGTATTACAAGTCAACAAAAAAAAAAACACTTATAGTTTCATAACTATTTTTAAAATTGTTATTTATTTATAATTTCGATCAGTTTAGTATGCAATCTTACAGTAGTGTTTAAGTGGTTCTTTTGTAATTCAAAAAATAAATGTTATCATATTCCCAAAAAGTCAAATTGTATGTAGATTGACATCTACCTTAGAGGTCTACCTGTAATAACAACCCTCCTCCACAAATAATCGTAGGTTATTTTGAACCGGAACAATATTTTAGTAAGTATAGGTCAGTGGGGTTTTGAGACTTGTCGATTGTAATGGTGATTTTTTTTTCAAAAAATAAAAATACCACAATCGAACTATACTGTGAACAGTTTCAAAAGGTTTTTATTTTTTAACATAAAAACTTCAAACGAATGTAAAATATCTTTGTATGTTATACCAACGAAATATTTTCGGAAGTAGGTATCTTTGAAATAAGTGTTTTCATTTTTTTCACGACTTTGTTCGTATACACCTAACGCCTATGTATACCATATAGTACGTTATGTCACAAGAACAAAACATTCGGACACAACGGTTCACGGTCGGCGGTGGCGGTGGCGGCGGATCTTCTTAATGGTTTTTTCCGTGACGATCTCGGCGAGCTGAAACACCGTGACCGAACGCTGTGCATTCACGTCCACCCTGCGTCGCGAATCAGCTGCTGCCCCTTGTTTTTTCAAGCACCCTGAGCAAATAAAAAATAATAATATTAACACACGTCCACCGATACAACGATGACTGATGATCTCTAATCGACCACACGCACGTCATATTATTTTATATAATACATTGCGTAATATATTATTATTGTGATACGTGCAGCACCAAAATAAAACAATCGAATCCCACAAAATATAATCGATAATAATATACTGGTATATGCACCGTGTCGCTTTATAATAACAATATGCGTGACTATATTATTAAAATATAAAAAAGACAATATCATAGCGTATACATAGTTACCAACCCTTTGCGACGCGTACTACAAAATATTACAATTTTATGTTTTGCGTTTTACCATTATTATTGCGGTCTGAATCTTAAAAATCATGAACAAATCGATTACCTGAAATATTAATACAAATTCTTAAGCTAAAAATACAAGTTTTGTAAAATCTTGAAGTATTTTTTTTTTTTTGATTTAAAATACACCGCAATTAAATTTCGAGTTATTAATATAAATTAGTGTCA